AAAATGAAGGACACACAACCTCTTCCTTACCACACACAAAGCCTTATATTAAAACAAACAAACAAACAAAAGGCAAATATCCAAGAGAATCAAAACGAGATAAAGAAGTAAAAATGATCAGAGAGGAAGACTTTGTAACACTGACAGAAGAGGGTACTACTAAACCACATTAAAGCCATAAAATGAATAGAAAACATCAACCTAAATGTATAGGAAGCTACTTTAAGAAACAAATAGGAAAGAATTCAAGCATTTCATCTGATGAAAACCTCCTCACCAAAAACAAAACATGTGAGGCATAAGAAAACTGTAGCAGCATTCTAAACTGAACTAAATATTCTCAAATAAGCATCTGGAGATATTTTTAAAAACACCATGAAAATCAGAAAATCAAAAACTAACAAGCACAAATGGACAAAAGGTGGAAGAAAATAAAAGATAACTGATGGTATGCTTTAAAGAGATAGAAAAAAAAGACAAAACGATCTGGGAAATGAAGACTAAATTATAAGAGGTCCAAGAAAGAATATTCTCAAATGATAATTTAATAAGAGTTACTGAAGAAATTCAGGCAAAAACCAAGGGAATTAAAATGAGATAAAGAGGTGAAAATAATGAGAGAGAGGCTGAGAGAGAAGATAGGCAAAGAAGATTCAACATACACATAATCAGAGCTGATGAAGAAGAAAGAAAAATAGTGGGAAACAAAGCAATATCAGTGTTTAAAACCGTAATCCAAGAAAAGTCTTTGGAAATAAAGAAAGACCTGAATCTATATATTCAAAGACCCACAGAATATCTGGGGAAATTGTCTTGGAATAATTAACTCTGAAGCATGTCCTAGTAAAAATATTAGGATGTAGGGAAAAATAATCAGGAACCTCAAAAAATCACCAAATAACCTGCAAGAAAAGTAGAATTAAACTAATATTATAATTCCAAAAGTCAAATACGTAGAAACAGAGAGTAGAATGGTGGTTACCAGGGGTGGAGAAGTGGGGGAAATGGGAAATGGCAAAATTAAGACCAAACATGTCAGTCATATTAATATATGTGAATGAGTTTAACTAACCAACTAAAAGAAAAAGATGATTAAGTTAGCTCATAAGGCAATTTATGCTGCATACAAGAATCACACCTAAGAGAATCAGAAGCTAAAATAAATGGTCAAAAGTGTATCAGGCAAAAGAATTAAAGCAGGGGTTGTAAGCCTAATATCAAGCAAAGTACAATTCAAGCTAACAAATATTAAAAGTGACAAAAAAAGTCATCTTTAAAGGCTAAAAACTACAATGTGCAATGGAGATATTAGTTATGGGTATCTATGCACCAAATAACACAGCAACCATCTTTATAGGCCAGAAACTACAGGAAGTGCAAGGAAAAATAGAAACACACTAATAATAGAAAACTTTAAGCACATCTCTCAGAATAAAACAGATTGAGTGGGTGAAAAGTAAGAATGTAGAGGACATAGACAACATAATCAATCAGATATATCTCATGAATATATAAATAAAACATGACATCC